AGGAAGGATACGGAATGTCAGACCCTACGGACGACTGGGAAGAGCTTACCGATAACTGGAATTACTCCGGACAAGAACGACGAAGGTTCTCGCGCTGTTTCTACGACTGCTTCGACGACTGCTAATTCGACGTTTTCGACTGCGGATTCTGGTGACGCGTGTCAAGTTTCTACTCATATCGCTGTGGACAGCCGATTTCGCCCATGTCTATTGTGTAAGGACCCGGTGGATGTGAGAGGCTCGCTACGTGGCTTTGGTGATTGCAGTGTTATTCCGAGAGGATCCTTGGGACGGAGGGTCATTCAAAGAATTTATTGTTCAGACTGGAGAGATATTGTCAAGGGTTCGATGAGAAATGGTTTTGGCTCTGTGTGTACCTCGTCTGGGGAGAATCATAGTTCGGATAGCCATGGGAGGGATAATTGGGTCCCGAACACAGGAAGGAAGGACTGTGAGGAAATTCAGACACCAGGTATTGGTTGTGAGAAGTTCTTTGGGGAGAGGAGTGAGTTGGTTGTATGTGAGGAACTAGCAAAATTTTTGCAAAGCACTCACTATGATCGGCTTACTCTTTTTGGTATCTGGAGCAGAGGGATAGCAAGCAGACCCAAGAGGTCGGCTACTGGGAAGAAGTCCAAGGCCGGAAGGTACGGACGTAACAGGCGGTCAACGGCCCGCTCAAGATCTCCTGCAGGTCAATAATTTGTTTGTTTGTTTGTTTGTTAACCCAATCATACAAATGTCAGTTATATGAACCACTACCCTAACTATTAACATCAAACAAGCAATTAACCAGCTATTAAGTAACAATGCAAGCATGAAAGGCATGCTATGATTAATGGATATGTATTTTAGCCCTCGCAACCCACTCTTACAAATTATAAATATGCTAAACCTAACCCTAATATTCAATTTACACAAACTTAGCTACATACCAACCTATCAATTCGTAAACGAGCTACCAATTGAGCTACCAACCTACAATTACATTCTAGAGTTGTGCCGACCCTTATATTCGCATGCTTGCCTTACAAATCAGAGTAGTATTCCACTTAATATGAACCAGAACTTAAACCCAAACTCGAACTCTAGCATGTTTAAAACCGAATGGAAGGAAGGGACGTACTGGTCGGTCAATGACCTAATTAAGAACTCCTCCACGTCAAACAATCCTTTGTTTGTTTGTTTATAAACAACTATATCCCTTAGAAGTAAGCAAGCAAACAAGCCGACCCCGCAAGTCAGCTACTGGGAACAAGTCCAAGGCTAATAGGCGGTCAACGACCCGCTCAAGATCACCTACAGGTCAGTGAATTCTTTCTCTCTTTCGTTCCTTGTTTGTTTGTTTGTTTATTACCCTAAATCATATCCTATCCAATATCAATTAGAAATCTCGATATTCAAATCATATATTTATAAAAGAAACAAAACTAAAATCTATTCAAATATGCATTATCGTCAATACTATTCACCACCTTAAGTCTAGATTCCTAGTTCAACTAACCCTAACTCCAAATCTTACAACCTCAACCAACTTCGTGGTCGTCTACAAACCATCTTTCTTCACTCCTTCATTCATATTGACTACAACTAATATACTTTCACACTATTTCATCAACCATCTCATCCTTATCACTCAAACATTACTCAATTCAACTTTTATCCACTTAACTAGCAATCCAACATTCTTTTAGGAAATCTTCTTCATCACGTACTTTCTTCCATATCTCGCCAGCGGCCTCATTTCAACTTCTATATACTCAAATACATATCTTTAGAACCGTACTATTTTTTGATTTTTCAAAAATTCACAAAATGCATTTTCTAATATCACAATATTATGCCATTACCGATCGTTCAAGAGTACCAAGAATCTGGATAGAGGACTACGAACCAATTTACAAAGACAACAATCCATGGAGATATCGAGTATTCATGGTCTCCTAACATGCCTGGGACCTCATTACTTTCACTTCACACAAAGTACTAGTATTTCACACAAAAAATATCATGAATTGAATTGAACTGAACTGATTGGATTAGTTAATCAGGTGTGGGAGTTCGTTATTGTTAGGTGAAATGATAGCACCCGAAAAACTCGTATTGATGGCGTTGAAACGCCTCCAAGAGCACGTGCAAGACGAGTTTGATATAGCTTGTACTTGGAGAAGAAGTATACGATTCTTGATGAAGTGTATCCACAAGGAAGACTAGTTTTCTGCAGTTTAGGAAGAATGAGAGGTTAGTGAAGAGCCGAAGGACGTCAAGGAAGAGTTCGGTGGAGGTGTCTGTGAAGGAACCGGTTGAAAGTACTAAAGATAATCGGTTAAAAGAAGAAGTTGTGCAGATAGGTAGATAAAGAAGAAGAATGGAAGGGCTCTTGTAAGAAGTTGAGAGAGGACAGTGATAGAAAACAGCCTGAGATAATCCCAATGAACACAGGAATGAAGAAGAAGCATTCTAGTGATAAGAAATCAATATCAAGAAGGACTGTTACGAAATCTCCCAACCACGGCAAAACTCCGATAAAAACGCAAGAGAAGAATAGTGAGAACCGTGTGAAGAGACCCGGAGGTGAAAAGGAAGAAGTGGTGTTGCGACACATGGAGAGTAAAAGAGTGCGTTTGGAAGAGGAGGTCAAGCCGATTGAACCAAAAGAGGTTTCGCCTTCAACAAAGGTAGAGTGGAGTTTGCTGGAAGAGAAGAAGGATTGTGAGCTGCCCTGTGAAGAAGTGAAGAAGAAGAAGAAGAAGAAGAAAGAGAGCGAGAGAGAGAGCAAGAGCAGTATAGTAATCACAAGTTGTTTGGAGCAAAATGTTGATTCTCCCTATGTGTGGTAAACGATTTTTCGATTTTTCAATTTTGTGTGGTGTAGAGGAAATAAGAAAGAGAATGCAAAGAAGACATTGGGAAACTCAAATTCGACAGGAATGTATAGTATTGAAGCGGCTGTGAAAGAAGAATCGTATACAAATAGGAATGAAGACACCCTATGGATAAAAGGAAAAAAGAATATGGATACAGTATATATGAGTGAAGATAGTATGGAAAATATAACCAGTGGTGACAAAGAAGACCTGAAGGTGTCCCGTACTAACATAGAGCAAAAGTAAAAGTACAATTCATTAGAGGGCACAACGAGCATGCAATACAAAATTTCTCAGCCTTATAAGAAGGACCATTCTGAAATGTCAAACAAGAATGCGAATTTGGATACAGCGCTTAATATAATAAATGAGGATTCGATTTGCAATGCATTGAGCACAAATTGATCGGAGTGAAAATTTCTATGCTTAGTCTTTTCCCCTATGGGCAAAGCGCTTTTTCGAATTTTTCATTTTTCTCAAATGAAGAAGAAATTTTATGTAGAGTACAGGGAGGCATAAATTAACTCAAATATGAGAGGAATACAATTTTGGAAGCAGTAGTGAAAGAGATTACTGTTCGAAACAAGAATGAAGATGGGCTATGTATGAATAGGAAGAGTATTTTAAATGTAGAAAATATAAGTGAAAACAGTATTGAAAAGATAGTAAATGGCGACAAAAATGGAGTAGAAGATTTCGTGTATCAACAAAGAGCAAAAGTAAAAGTAAAATTCATTAGAGGATAGGACGAGCATGCAATACAAAATTTCTCAGCCTTATAAGAAGGACCATTCTGAAATGTCAAACAAGAATGCGAATTTGGATACAGCGCTTAATATAATAAATGAGGATTCGATTTGCAATGCATTGAGCACAAATTGATCGGAGTGAAAATTTCTATGCTTAGTCTTTTCCCTATGGGCAAAAGCGCTTTTTCGAATTTTTCATTTTTCTCAAATGAAGAAGAAATTTTATGTAGAGTACAGGGAGGCATAAATTAACTCAAATATGAGAGGAATACAATTTTGGAAGCAGTAGTGAAAGAGATTACTGTTCGAAACAAGAATGAAGATGGGCTATGTATAAATAGGAAGAGTATTTTATATACATAATATATAAGTGAAAATGGTATTAAAAAGATAACCAGTGATGACAAAAATGGAGTAGAAGTTTTCGTGTAACAACAAAGAGCAAAAGTAAAAGTAAAATTCATTAGAGGATAGGACGAGCATGCAATACAAAATTTCTCAGCCTTATAAGAAGGACCATTCTAAAATGTCAACTAAGTATGCCAATTTGGATACAGCGCTTAAGGAGATGAATGAGGATTCGATTTGCGATGCATTGAGCACAAATTGATCGGAGTGAAAATTTGCCCTTCCACATGGGGAAAAGCTTAGTCGTTATTTTGAAGTTTTCACGATTTTTGGGGTAGAGAGAGGACGTGGTTCAGAGAGTTGTAGGATGCGATGGGAGTACTGGAATTCGTTGGAAATGTCCACTTTTGGAAGAGACATGATACCACACACTCTGGCATGGAAGAACCCTCTAGAAGGAAGCAAGGAAGGAGTCTATAGAGGATCTGGCGCTGTTGTTTACGCCATCAAAGACAGAGAGAAGGATGCGGGGTAGAGTACCATATAGAATGATTGAGAGTGGGTAGAGAAGAGTACAAGAAGCTGAAACCAATTCTGGAAGCCAAGAAAGAAGAAAGAAGGGAGAGGCGAGAATGAAGGAGGTTGAGCTAGAAGCGAAGGCATCGGAGAAGAAATTGCAGATAGAGAGAAAGGGAGACAAAGGTACTCGCATTGTTTCTACAACTGCTTCGATGACTACTAATTCGACGTTTTCGACTGCGGATTGTGGTTATGTGTGTCAAGTTTATACTCACATCGCTCTGGATAGCCAATTTCTCTCGATTTTGAAGTGTCAGGACCCGGTGGATTTGAGAGTCTCGTTATGTGGCTTTGGTGACTGTGGTGATATTCCGAGAGGATCCTTGGGACAGAAGGTCATTGAAAGGATCAATTCTGAGAACTGTGGCGACATTGTGAAGGATTCGATGAGAAATGGTATGGTTCTCTATGTACCTCGTCTAGGGAAAATCATGGTTGGGAGAGCCTTGGGTTAATAATGGATAGTTCAGAACGGAACAATGATTGGATTCTGAGCACAGGAAGGAAGGAAGGAAGGAAGGAAGGAAGGAAGGAAGGAAGGAAGGAAGGAAGGAAGGAAGGAAGAAAGGATTGTGATAAAATCCAGACACCGCGTATTGGTTGTGGGAAGTCTTTTGGTAAGAAAGATGAGCTGGTCGGTTGTGAGGAAGTAACAAGATTCTTGCAAAGGACTTACTATGAATGGCTTACTCCATATGGTATGTGGCATAAAGGGATGCCAAGCCGACCCCGCAAGTCAGCTACTGGGAACAAGTCCAAGGCTAATAGGCGGTCAACGACCCGCTCAAGATCACCTACAGGTCAGTGAATTCTTTCTCTCTTTCGTTCCTTGTTTGTTTGTTTGTTTATTACCCTAAATCATATCCTATCCAATATCAATTAGAAATCTCGATATTCAAATCATATATTTATAAAAGAAACAAAACTAAAATCTATTCAAATATGCACTATCATCTATACTATTCACCACCTTAAGTCTAGATTCCTAGTTCAACTAACCCTAACTCCAAATATTACAACCTCAACCAACTTCGTGGTCGTCTACAAACCATCTTTCTTCACTCCTTCATTCATATTGACTACAACTAATACACTTTCACACTATTTCATCAACCATCCCATCCTTATCACTCAAACATTACTCAATCCAACTTTTATCCACTTAACTAGCAATCCAACATTTTTTTAGGAAATCTTCTTCATCACGTACTTTCTTCCATATCTCGCCAGCGGCCTCATTTCAACTTCTATATACTCAAATACATATCTTTAGAACCGTACTATTATTTGATATTTCAAAAATTCACAAAATGCATTTTTCTAATACCTCCATTTCCCCATTATGGATCTTCAAACTAACCTATCTCACGAAGGTCTAAACCCAGCTCAAGTTCCCTATTTTTTTATCCACCCAGGACCACTCTAATGACGAGACCGATTTCGCTGAAATCGACACGCTTGGAGATCTTACTGGAGGTCACTGAGGATAGGGGGATCGAGAGTGGAGGATGGGGTCTTTTGCAGCAGACCGCTCTCTCTTCTGTGGAGGGGGTTGATGCAGATCTCATGAAGAGAACAGGGGTGAGGATCGAGCAGTTTTTCTTTCATATACTCTCTGCGTGTTTAAGAGAAGTGTTGGGTCTGAGCGCACGAGGGGAAGCGAAGGAAGGCTACACGGAGAGTGCCAAGAATCTAGATAGGGGAGTACGAGCGGATCCACAAAGGCAGGAATCCAGGAGGGTATCGAGTATTGATGGCCTTCAATCATGCCTGGGACCTCACCACTTTGACTGGACAAAAAGTGGTTCACCCAATAAATACGATGAACTGATTGGATTAGCTAATCAGGTGTGGGAGTTATTTTTGGGTGAAATGATAGCACCCGAAAAACTCGTCTTGATGGCGTTGAAACGCCTCCAAGAGCACGTGCAAGACGAGTTTGATATAGCTTGTACTTGGAGAAGAAGTATACGATTCTTGATGAAGTGTCTCCGGAAGACTGGTTTTCCGCAGCTTAGGAAGAATGAGAGGTTAGTGAAGAGCCGAAGGACGTCAACGAAGAGTTCGGTGGAGGTGTCTGTGAAAAAACCGGTTGAAAGTACTGAAGAAAATCAGTTAAAAGAACAAGTTGTGCAGATACAGAAAGAAGAAGAAGAAGGCAAGGGCTCTTGTAAGAAGTTAAAAGAGGACAGTGAGAGAAAACAGCCTGAGGTAATCCCAATGAACAAAGAAATGAAGAAGAAGAAGACGATCGTGAAGAAGCATTCTAGTGAAAAGAAATCAAAATCAAGAAGGACTGGTACGAAATCTCCCAACCACGGCAAAACTCCGATAAAAACGCAAGAGAAGAATAGTGAGAACCGTGTGAAGAGACCCGGAGGTGAAAAGGAAGAAGTGGTATTGCGACACACGGAGAGTAAAAGAGTGCATTTGGAAGAGGAGGTCAAGCCGATTGAACCAAAAGAGGTTTCGCCTTCAACAAAGGTAGAGTCGAGTTTGCTGGAAGAGAAGAAGGATTGTGAGCTGCCCTGTGAAGAAGTGAAGAAGAAGAAGGAGAAAGAGAGCAAGAGCAGTATAGTAATCACAAGTAGTTCGGAGCAAAATGTCGATTCTCCCTATGGTAAACGATTTTTCGATTTTTTCAACTTTCTGTGGTGGAGAGGAAATAAGAAAGAGAATGCAAAGAAGACATTGGGAAACTCAAATTCGACAGGAATATTGAGTTCTGAAGCGGCTGTGAAAGAAGAATCGTGTGCGAATAAGAATGAAGCCAGCTTAAGTATGAGTGGGAAGAAGACGATGAATACGCAATCCAGCGGTGACAAAGAAGACCTGAAGGTGTCCCGCACTGACAGGGAGAGGAAGCGAGAGTGCGATTTATCAGAGAGGACGAATACGGTCCAACAGAAGAATGTCCCGCCGTATAAGAAGGTTCATTCTGAAATGTCGGATAAGAATGCGAATTTGGATACACCACTTGATTTGGTGGATGAGGGGTCGATTTGTAGTAAATTGAGCCCAATTCATTCCGACAGTATATTTGCCTTCCCATCTGGGAAATTAAACACTGATTTTTCTGCTTTCTCTTATCTTTGGGAAGAGAGAGGACAGGGTTCAAAGAGTTGCAGGATGCGATGGGAGTACTCGAATTCGTTGGAAATGTCCACTTTTGGAGGAGATATGGTACCAGCCAAGACAGAGAGAAGGAGGCGAGGTACAGTACCATATAGAATAAGAGTGGGTAGAGAAGAGTACAAGAAGCTGAAACCAATTCTGGAAGCCAAGAAAGAAGAAGGAAGAGGAAAGAAGGGAGAGGCGAGAAGGAAGGAGGTTGAGCTAGAAGCGAAGGCATCGGAGAAGAAATCACAGGCAGAGAGAAAGGGAGACGATAGCACCGTGAAGGAAGAGAAGAACCGAGAGGAAGCACGAAGGACGACAGTAGAGAGGGTTCAAAGAGTACGGCTACAGGAGCCGAAGGGAACCAAGGTGCCCAATGGAACCAAAGGAACCAATGGACCCCAGAAGACAGAGTCGCCCCAGGTGCTTGAGAGAATGGAGGTGCCAGTGAGACCGTCAGACCCGATAGAAGAAAGCTGTGATGCGAAGAGTGACAAACCTATGTCCAAGGAAGAAGAAACGGAAGTGGGGCATATCCCGGTAGAGAAGACGTGTCTAGCGGGACCCAAGGAACACCCCATGGAAACAAAGGAGCAAGAGAATCCCGGAAGGATATGGAGTGAGGAGAGTATCGAAGCAAGGGAGGTCGAAGAATATCCTAAAGAGGAAGAGACAAGGAGGTACTCAGAGGAAGGAAGGCAGAATTGGGACAGGGAGGAGGAGGAGAGTAGCAGTGAAGTGTCCTCTCCTTCTACGACACCCATGGATTGGTCGAAAGAAGAGTACCTGGAAGTCTTGATGGATGAAAACGAGAATGGATATTGGAGTGACTCCACGATGGAGAACTCGGTGACGGATAGTGTTGATGGATGGCTTGAGGTAGAGGAAAGGAAGAGCAGCCCTCTGGGTGGCTGGAGACCCTCGAGCCCCGAGAGTGAGAGATCTCACTATAGTAACGCCTCAACGCGAGAACATTCACCGAGACGAGATACTATCCCCAATTCACACTGCAGAGTGGTCACACCTGTGAAAGTGAATGTCCAGGTGGATCAAGAAGAGAGTGAGGAGGAGGAGAAGAGGAAACCCTTGCAAGAAGAGATGACGATGAAGACCCTCGGTAGAGAGGGAGAGAGTAAAGTATTGCACAACAGAGGAGACGAAGTACACAGACCTGAAGTGAAGTGGCACAGGCGAAGCCAAAGTTGGGACGAGGATATGATGGTCCGAGTGCCCGAGAGGAAGTGCTTACCGCAGGCAGAGGAAAGCGAACCTAAGAGTGATGTGGAGAAGGAGGAGGTTGAGAGATGGCGAGAAGGTTCGGAAGGTCCTGAGGTTTGGTCTATGGAAGACCGCGGACTTGTGGAGTCTTACCGGATAAACATCGATACAGATGGTTTGGTAGTTCCTCCCCAGAAGGAATGTGTGGAAGGGGAGAGGGAGGTAAGAAACGAAGGTCCGAGCAAAGAGGAACTTTTGGCAGAGCCTGACAAAGAATCAGAGAAGCAGATATCTGTGAAGGAAGAGCAAGATGCGAAGGAGATATCGGTAGAGAATACCTCGCTGGAAGACGACCGCTATCTAGAGGCAGCCATTAAGAAGGCAAAGGAGACGGTAGCGGAGATAGAAGAGGAGAAGAAAAATAAGAAGAAGTCGAGACGAGGTAGAAGAGGAAAACCGAAGAAAGAAGAGAAAGGAAACGAGGAAGGCCGTAAAGACTCGGATACGACGCAGGAAGTAGTGTGTGAACCGAGGAAGGGCGAACACCTGAGAATCTATGGATTGCTAGAGGGCAACGTGAAACTGGTGTACAAGTTGATATACCGGTTGGTGGAAGTGTGCGAACTGGAATCGATAGTGCAGGACGTCCGAGTGACAATTCTCCGCAAAATTGGCCAAGAGCGCTTCTTCAAAGTGACTGGGAAGGGAATCACGAACGATAAGTTTGTGACCCCTTTCTCAGTGCTTGGAAACCATATGGGATTCCGAGTGAGAGTGTTTCTCCAGAATCCCCGGCGACCAAAGGGGAAGAAATACCAATTTGACAGGAGACTGGTGTACGGCGTGGCAACCCATAATGTAGGGACAGTGAAGAAGAAGAAGATCGAAATCCTGAACTACATGAATGAGGTGGGTGCGAACGTATTGGCGCTACAGGAGACGAAACGGACGGAACGTGATGAAGTTTGGAAAGTTCCGGGCTGTGTGGTTTTCGAACACCGGCCGAAGAAGCTGGTGAAAGGAAACCTGGGAATAGCGACGATCGTTCAGAGAGACATGTTTCCCGAGGTGCTCGAGATCACAGAGAATATGATCTGGATTCGGTGTGGCCGAGGCGAGAAGAAGCTTGTGATCTGCAACGTGTACATCCCTACAGCGAATGCTGGGGGGAAGAAGGAAGTGGTGATAGAAGATCTGAAGAAGAAGATAATGGGTTACGCGGGAGATAGGAAGATATGTGAATTTGGTGGTACATGGGAGACTTCAACATGACTCCCTCGGAGGTGAAGAACTGGATTCGAGGCCACGCAGATTCCCGTGGAGGTAGCTCCAATGGGGAGAGGAGAAGTAACCTTCAAGAGAGGAAGGAGTGTAAGCGTTATCGACTATATTTTACATTCGATTGGAGGAAGAGCAAAGTGTAGCCAAGTCTCGGTAGTGGATTCGAAAATCTCAGATCATAATGGATTATCTGCAACTCTGAGTTTTGTGCAGAAGACTTCAGGTCCGGTGTACAAAAGTGTGAACCGATTTGCAGTACTCCGACGCTTGGAGGATGATTTGGATGACTCCAAGTTTGACATCAGCCGGTACCAGGGGTTGATAGAGGGCGAGAGTAGCGAGGCTGTGTCTCGATTCCTAGTGGAATTGAAGGACTCGCTGGAGCAGAAAGGAATGGTCCGAGCGCCCAAACCTGGTAGAAGAGTAAAGAAGCCGTTTCCGAGGAAGATAAAGAGATTGGCGGAGAAGAGACGGAATTTACTGAAGAAGAGACACAGAGGAGAGGAACTATCGCAGGAAGAGAGAGCCCTGATGAAGAAGTGCCAGAGAGCCATAAAGCAGTACAAGGAAGAAGAGAAGATACGTGCGATTCATAGCGGTATAGAATCCCAACTCCGGAATGATAGCCGCAGACTGTGGCAATGGATAGGGAAACAGCTGAACGAGGAGAAGAGCAGGAAGGCGATGGTGATAAAGGATCATGCAAGTGGTAGGCTGTGTACCGATGAGCACGAAGTGGCTGACTTGTGGGCTGAACACTACAGGAAGCTAGGGTCAAAGGGAAATGGCCATAGCAAGGATCTCGGATACTGGGAGAAGTTTGAGGTGAACAAGCCTCAAAACCAGGGTATGTGCGGGAGCGAAGAGTACTGGAATAAAGACATATCCTGGAAGGAGGTTCGAGAAGTAGTGAAGACGATGGCAAATGGGAAGGCCTCGGGTATAGATGGTATTCCAGGAGAAGTGTACAAGGCAATAACGCGAAATAAGTGGCCTCGAGGGGATCGGGGATTAGCGTACATATTGCTGAGAGTACTGAATGCCATCTTCCATGGGAACATACCAGAGGACTTGATGACTTCTACGGTAGTTTCGGTACCGAAAAAGGGAGATTTGACGGACATGAACAATTACAGAGGTATCAGTTTGATGCCTGTGTGCGTGAAGATCGTGGCGGCAGTGATAGCTTGTCGTATCAGCTCCGTCTTTGAGAAGGAGCACTTCCTGTCGGATGCCCAGGCGGGTTTCCGTCCAGAACAGGAGTGTGTAGGGCAGGTCGGAGCTTTGATCGAGATTATACAACGATGGACTATCGAAGCGCGAGCGGTGAAAAATCGGATAAGGCTGCCGGAAGACGAGTTGCAGGCATTTGCATGCTTTATCGATTTTAAGAAGGCGTATGATACGGTCCCCCATGAAGCACTGTTGTATAAGTTACGAGCTTACGGGATATCGGGTAAAACGTACAATTTTATCCGAACCCTGTATGACCGATCTTACATAAGCGTACGAGTGGGTCAATTGCGATCCCCGAAAGTACCCTTAGAGAGAGGTCTACGTCAAGGCTGTCCACTATCTCCGATATTGTTCTCGATCTTCATTAACGATATCCTCCCTAAACCGAAGAAGAGACTATTCTCTTGGGAACCCAAGGTTGAGGGTCTGATGTTTGCGGATGACATTGTGGTATTTGCGAGGACGGCAGACAGATTGCAGAAGTTGCTGGATCATGTCTCGGAGTGGGCGAATACATGGGAGATGTCTGTGGGGCATGCCAAATGTGGTGTGATGCTATTTGGTACTGCCGAGAAGAACGCAAACTATGAAGGAAGAGAATGGATTCTCCAAGGAGAACCGATAGCGGTAGTTAAGGAATATACCTACTTAGGAGTGAAGATCACCCCCAAACTGGACAGTAAAGGGATGATGAAGGCGAGAATTGGGAGGATGGAGATGCTCCTAGGTAGCCAAAAGCGATTCCTATGCAACTACAGAATTCCGGCACAGTTAAGAGTCAAAGTACTTCAGAGTGTAGTGCTGACATCCGGGCTCTATGGAGCAGAAGTATGGGGCGGAAACAAGGATGAGGCAAGGAGTGTACAATCGGTGCTAAACAGAGGTCTCAATTACATCCTACAAGCCACGGGGAAGTTTTCTGCATGCATTCCATCGTTGGAACTGGAGTTGGATATGCCTCCGGTGTATCCTATTCTGGTATCAAAGCGATTGCGATGCATGTGGAAGGGGAGGTGGTTGAGTCGCACGTTGGGCGATCTCATAGAGAGTAGGCTGGAATGGTGGTCAACGAAGAACACCTACCTGAAGACGACGGAGAGGATAGCACAGGAAGTGCTGCAGACGGTAGGTAGAGGGATCATCGATGATCACCTGGCATGCGGTAAGGAGGTTCCGGCGCGGTGGCTAGATGAGAGGCGGAAGTGCCATGTCCAGATGGCATTCGAGATGTGGGGTGGAGAGCCACGAAACGGAAGTCCTTTTTCGGCCAGAGATCTGGTACGGAGGATGATTCCACGCCTTTGGATACGCCAGCTGCAGGAGAGCGATGCGCAGTTTCTGAGGATGTACTTGACAAGAGGACGAGCCATCAACCGGCGCTACCTGGACTTGTGGTTCAGGCATCCGGAGTTGGCGAGAGGGTGTCAGGTAATCCTGGAAATGCGCTGTGGGAGCTGGTGTTGTGTGGAGACGCGCTACCCTAAGCTAGAGGGGCCAGAAGGGTGCAAGTGTCCTTGCTGTGGAGAGTGCGAGAAGGAGACCCTAGAGCACTTCCTCTTTAAATGCCGGAGATATATGAAAGAAAGATTGGCTTTGGTCCGGAGGATCAGAGAGAGGCTCATGTTGGGCGAGGAGTGTGACGTGGATCCTTTCTCTGATCCGGATGGTTCTCGGATTGGATGATGTGTCGACCCGCAAAGCAGAAATACAGGGAGTGAAAAGGAAGTCTGTGAAGAGGGATGCCCTACCTCTGCCCGATAGTCCGAACGACTCAGAGGCAGCTAGTAGGTTGACACGAGTGTTAGAGAAGGACACAAGTCCGAGACGCGGAGGGACAAAGTCGGATCTTAGTGTTGGACCTGCAAGGGGAGATCAAGTAGAGAGCGGGAGAGTTTCGACGCCTGGGGGCGTACCTAAGAGGGAACAGTTAGTTGTGTCGCTATCACACCCACCAACTAGCTTTTCGGCGCCGGTTAAGGTGACCTCTTTGCCACAGGTACCGGGTAGGAAGAAGAGTAGACAGTCTGGAATCGACGAGTTTTTCAAGATCGCGGCCAAGTGCTCAGACAAGGACAAGGATTTATCTGCGGACAAGACTTTGGACAAGACTGGAACGAGGACAAGATCAAGATGGACTGACAGTAAGAGGACTGTTTTGGACCCGTCGAACCGAAAGCGTCTACGACTGGTACAGGAGAGGACATGGAATTGGTTCTCTGTGTGTACCTCGTCTAGGTAATATTTTGGTTCAGAGAGCCTTGGGAAGGAAGGAAGGAAGGAAGGATGATACGATTCTAAACACAGGACGGAATGAAGGAAGGATTGTGATACAATCCAGGATCCGTGTAGTGGTAATGGAATATCTTTTGGTGAGGAGAGTGAGTTGGTCGTTTGTGAGGAAGTAGCAAGATTCTTGCAAAGCACTTTCTACCAATGGCTCACTCTATATAGTATGTGGCATAAAGGGATAGCAAGCAGATCCCAGAGGTGGGCTACTGGGAAGAAGTAAAAGGGTGGAAGGTACGGACGTAACAGGCGGTGAACAACCCGCTCAAGATCTCCTGCAGGTCAATGAACTGTTTGTTTGTTAATTTTTATTTGTTATGATTCATTTATATACTATTATCAAGTCTGGTGCTTCGCACCGTCACACGTAGTGTGACTCGACTTGATAATAGTATATAAATGAATCATAATATATACTCTTTTAGAATCAAGTCTACCACTAGACTTGACTTAGACTCGGACTCGTACTTGTAGGATTTATTCTTAGACTTGGACTTGTGTTTTTTACAAACAAATTACATTAAGACTTGTCTTCTATTTCCTAACCATGATTCGTAGGCTAATAGTAGGTTTCTTAGTAATCGTGGTTGATCTTGCATACCTGTTGCTTCTGGATCTTGGTAGATTCTACTTGCTACACCTATTGCTAATTGTTCATCTGTGTTGATTTGTAGTCCTTGTTTTGCTTTTTCAGCTGCGTTTAAAACTTTGTTCGTCGCGTCAGTAAATTGTAATATAGTATTGTATGCTGTTCTTCCACTGATATAATTATCGCCCCATAAATGGTAATTAATATATCCTGTTCCGCGTTTCTTTAGTAATCCATGTTTTAATGCTAGTTTGTCTAGTGTGTTGCTCTTTACCCAGTTTACGAAGTAAGATTTTTCGAGATTAGGAATAACATAGTGATTTCCTCCATTAGTTAGTGTTGCAGCGTCCCATATTATTTCTCTTCCATCACCAATTGCTTTTCTGTACCCTGCTATTGCGAGATGGTTTGCTGTCATTAGTGATGAACCAGGTTCTGCGTATGCCGTTGTTATAATTTCGTTTTGTCTTTCATTCATTTGGTACATTTGTTCATGCATATCAGCGATTGTATTTTCATTGTGTAGTATTTCCGCTTGTTGTTCTTGTATTATTGTGTCCTGTCGATTTAGTTCATTCACTTGTTGATTTATTAGTTGTTCTTGGTTTTGTAGTCTCTCTTCTTGAGATAGTATATGTGCCTCTGCTTGACTTCTTTCTGTGAGTAATCTTCTCTCTGCGTTTTGTCTTTGCTGATCTAGTGCTACGCTAAAGGAGGTGTAAATTTCATTCATTTGTCTTTGATGTCTTTGCTCTCTTTCTCTCATTAGTTGTTCTTTGTCACGTAAGTTTAGTTCCATGTTTTTTAATCTGTGATCAGCTGTTTGCATTGTAGTAATGAAATCTCTGTTCATGTCCTCCATTTCTTTTTGTAGCTGTCTTATATGCTGTGTCTGTTTTTGTTTGGTTTCCTCCCAGAATTTTTTATTCTCTTGGAAGTCTGATTCTCTGCGATGTAGTTCATTTTCGTAGTATATCGCTCTGTTTGATGTTTTTTGTAGCTCTTCCTCGTATTGGCTCATTAGACGCATTAAATTTTGTTGCTGCTCCTTCCATTCGTCTTTCATGCCCTCCTTTTCTGATTGTGCCATTTCTAATTCTTGTTGTGTTGTTATTTGTTTATCCCATAAGCTTTCTAGATCGTCTTGCATATTTTGTAGCTCTTTTCTTAGTTTCATTATTTCTTCCTGTTGATCTATTAATTTCTTCTTCGTTACGGCAGATGTTCCTCTTGGTACTGGTATTCTCTGAAATTCATGTTGAGGTGCAATAGAGGTTTCTGGTGTTTGATTCCATATTTCATCTATCGTAAACTCTCTCTCTTGATCTTCTGCTTCTGACATTGTTGATGAAGAATTCTCTGTTTCGCTACTTGAGTAATATACCTCTTCTCCTGGTTCTGGAATATCCATAGATGGTCTTTCTATTGGCGCATCCGGTATTGTGCTGGAGATATCGCCTTGTGTGCGTGTCTTCTTTCTTTGTTCTGCTTCTCTGAAGTTTTGTAGTATTAATTCCTCCACGGTCATGTAGTCTGTTCCATCCAGGACCCCGGAGTTGCCTCTGGTGAACTTGGAAAGTT